CAAGCGAAAGTAAGCAATTTTCAGCCATCTTTTGGCAGCGAAAATCGTCCCTGGAGCTCAAACCGATGATTCCCTTTTTCTCGAAAACAAAAAAGTATTTTTCAAAACTAACCACGCAGCGTTTCGTACTTCATCGTACACTACTAAAATCCAAAAGTAGAGCGAATTCGAAAATTTGAGCCTTTCCGCCGTATGTTTGATTTTTACAGACAGTCGCTCTTAATTTTTTATCTTTTAAATTTCATATTGCAGCTCAAAAAAAATGTTCTAATATTACGTCTACAATCAGTGAAAAAAGGTGCTTTTCGAAGAAGAAGAAACAAATAACAACCACAAGAGAGAACACAATGACACCATCTTTTTCAYCAAGTACGAAAGGTAAGGATCGATGCTTATCAATAGAACAATGGCGTTTTGAAATCACTTGATAATAAAATAGAGTGCGAATAGTAATGTATCCAGAATAGTCGCATAAATACTAAGATTTAAAACAAAATTAAAAATCAGGAATAAAAGTATATATGAGCTTAAGGCCCTGCTACACGTTGAAACTTTTAGGAGAAACTTGTGTGCAACGGCATTGCGAGACAAGTTTCACAGGGGTGTTACGCGGCGCAATTTCGTCCTGAAACTTGTTCGCGACACAAGTTTCGGTTGCAGAAGTAGAAAGCAGTTCTACTTTTCGTGAAACTTTGTCGCGACGAAAGTTTCACAAAGCTGGGGTGTTACACGGTGCAATTGCTTCTGAAACTTGTCTCGCAACGCTGTTGCACACAAGTTTCACCTAAAAGTTTTAACGTGTAACAAAGCCTTTACGTAGTGTTTAATAAACGAGCAGGAATGTTTTATCGGCTTTAAAACCACGAGGCGCAGCCGAGTGGTTTTAGATCCGATAAAACACGATCTGCGAGTTTATTAAACTACTTCAAAAACTTTAAGTATAATTCATAAACCTTTCAGTTGGAGTAGAGCCATCATATACCTCGCGAACATTGACTTTTATACTTTGATAGTCGTTTGTACAGCAATTTCATGCGCAGTGAGGTTTTTACGTCACTGCCATGCGCAGTAAGTGCAAAAAGGCTCCCACAAGTTGAAGACAACATGCCGAACTCAAGACAGGGGCACTAGTCGACGATAATTTGCGGGTCGTCGATGATCGTAGGTGAGACCGACCTTGACGAGGCTCTAAGTCTTCAACTAAACTTGGATGCACCTTTATTCTGATAAGGTTGTCCATATTAGTATTCTTTATATAAAAAATACTAATGAAGAGGACTTTATCGGGTATAAAGGTCCATGCACGTGACGTGTATGGTGGCTCCAATTGGACCAAAGGCTTATGAATTTTTCATGAGTTTTTGAAGGATATTTGACATGTTCCTGATAGTCCTATGCACATATGATGACTGATTATGTGTTTGTTCCGTTGTTGTTTTTAAATGTTCTTGTTTTCCCTTGTTTTGTTGTTGTTTTTGTTGACGCTTACAGTTCGAGTTTAATTTAATAGAAACAACAGCTACTGCTACAACACCAACTCATGTAACAACAGTTCAAAGAAGTTCTTCATATTCCAGTCCACCAACCGAAAAATTTTCATCAAACGAAAATGAACAACGTACGGAAGCTTTTGTCCATACCACAAAACCGGAAGGTAAGCATTGAGTAAAATATGTGTGTTATAAGTTTTGGAGAACTATTACTGAGTGCTCTATTAATTGTCATTTCTAGCTGTAGTATATAATTCCCTCAGTACTGAGAATGGAGAGACAAAGGATTTTGTTAAGCCCACTCTAAAAAAAGGTAAGTTCTTCAAATTCGTAAAAAATACCGSTGTGTACCAGTGACTGCAGACTCAWTTTCKAATGATTACAAGTAATGCCTCAWTTTAGCAACAAAAAMRTTC